GTTCAATACTTATTTTACCCGCTGTATATATTTTTTACTTAACATGAACATTGTTTCTTATATCAATGGTCAACTTTAAATTTATGATTAAATGCAACAAAATAAATTTAAAAGGAGAAAAATAATAACAATTGTTCTGCCCCTGAGCTTTTGATGTAACTAACTGAGCAATTTAGTTGGATAGCACAATATTAATGTCTGAAAATATGCTGCTTTAAAGTCAGCATCAACCATAAACTAAATCTGCTATAATGCATACTAGCTACTCACTAGAAACTCATCAGTGAGTAAAACTTTATTAGTTTTGCTTTTAATAATATTTCTGTAATTATTTCAGAATTAGTCAGTTGTACACTTAGTTCTTATGAGTGTTTTAAAGAGGATGTGTTAAAACACTGTTTAGTCAAAGTTAAACATGAAACCTCAAAGTTCATTACAAGTGGCCCTTCGAGGGTCACCATAACGCTCATGTGGCCCTCGGTGAAAATGAGTTTGACACCCCTGGTCTACACACAAGAGAAAACAAGATGACAACCAATCCTTGATGCAGTCCCACCTCCACTTTGAAGCTGTCTTACTTACACAACTATTGTCCTGCTGTCCTCATGCATGTCTTGTATCATTACAGGCAAAGGCAATCCATGAAATAATCTTAATTGCATTTTGCCTTTTACCTTGATGAAAGTTCAGAAAGCTCCTGAATGTTTTCTGTGTGCATAGCTTTGGGTAAAATTAGGTAATGTGAATGTAAGTAAACACAAGTGCATATATTAATTTGTCTCATCTGCATATGAATTGTGCACAACCTAAAAATAAATGTCTAATTAGACTTGCAGATGCTGATGCACAAATCTAAGCTGCTTAAAAGTGAATACCTTTTTTTGTGAATTGTCAGCAATGTTCACTCCAATCTGAATAAGTAGTTTCCTGTTTTATGATTTGTCTAAATATGTCTTGTGCATTTACACCAACAGTGCATGTGTTTTACAGTCTGACAGACAGCTCTATCCTTTGTGGGACCCTTGGGAGACTGCATCTTTTGAGTTCMGTCACAAAGCATATGTGAAGTCTTCTAAAAAAAAATTTCTAATCGTTATAGCTGACAGCTGACTTGCTAAAAACCATGACTGGCTTATCTTTTTTATTCTCTGCTGTATTTACTGTTTTTTTTTTTTTTACAAAGGAGCAATGGTACTATTAGAAAAATCTGCTTGATGTTTACAGACAAGTTTCTCCACAGCAATCAAACTGTCATATTCTTTTTTATTTACATTTTAGTCTGTATAGAGAAAAAAAACATGACGGAGAGAAAAATACAAAGCACTGAATGTGCATAATCTCTTGTCAAGTGCTGTTTTCCCTCATCTGCACGAGCCCTTTTCATCCCGGCAGCATGCAGCGAAATCACAGATTTCTTTTTAACATATTTCTCACTGTCTTAAATGCTTGTGGTGAGTAGAGAAAGTTTGAAAAGAATTGTGTTTAAGGGTCCTTTCTGGTCCYTGAAGCTAAATTTGGGAATTTGAAAGTTGAATGATGAATTCAGGAGGAACATTATGGGTTCAGTCCTGGCCGTGGAACACTGTACCCTCACTAGGGTCCTTGAGGGGTCGTGGGAGTTTATCCTTTCCTGTCTACTTGTGTTTTGTGGATTTGGACAAGGCATCGTGAGTATGAGCTTGTGGGTCCGTTGTTACGGGCCATACAAGTATGAGAGTTTAGACCACGTTGCCAGCAGTAAGTCATAACCTTTCAGGGTGTGAGTTGGACTCTGCCAGGGCTGCCCGTTTTCACAAATCCCCTCATAACTTTTATGGACAGAATTTCTCGGTGCAACCAGAGGGGGCTGAAGGAGTCTGGTTCTGTGGCCTCAGGATTTCATCTCTTAACTTTAGATGATGTCCTGTTGACGTCATCGGGCCATGATCTTCATAGCCAAGTGTGAACCAGCTGGGATGAGGATCAGCACCTCTAAATACATGGTCTTTAGTCGAAAAAGGGTGGATTGCTCTCTTCAGGTTAGGGGTGAGGATCTGCCTAAAGTGGAGGGGTTGAAATATCTTGGGGTTCTGTTCATGAGCATGAGACTGACGGATTGGTGGAACTTCTGCAATAGTTCAGACTGTTGTGATGAAGAGAGTTGAGCTGTAAATCAGCAGTCCGGTTTATTGATGCCAATTTCCTTGATTTTGGAAGATGGGCCAGTGCCTACCTGTGAAGCTGATCTTATCCACCACTTTTGTCTTCCTATGCAAGGTCTGAAAATCAGCCAATGTACCCTTTTGCTCTGCTGGGAGCACTACCTCATGTCTTAAAACAAGTTTTTATTGTTTCAAAGGGTATCGTTCAGTGTTTTTCGGTAAAATACGTTTGGAACATTGAAGGTGTATTGTGACTTTACAACACCTGACAGTGTCAGTTATACAGCGGGTAAAATAAGTATTGAACACGTCACCATTTTTCTCAGTAAATATATTACTAGAGGTGCTAATGACATGAAATTTTCACCA